TATATATATATATATATATATATATATATATATATATATATATATATATATACATATATATATATATATATATATATATATATATATATATATACATATATATATATATATATATATATTTGCTAAAAAATAATATAAAAAATAATATAAAATACCGCATAAGTAAAATTAAAAATATCTAAATTGATTATAACATTCAAGGTTCTTTATCAATAAAATAATTGTTAAAGAAAATACTGATATACATAAATGTTTAAAATAAAATATAAATTCATATTAAATGTGCTTCTAATATAATAATGTCTATAAAGCAATTAAAATGGCATTAACCAAAAATCTTAATTGATTTTGTATCTAATAAATTGAGTGTAGTTAATGAAAAACGAAAGACTATTTCATTATTTATTTATTATCGTTGTTCTATAACTGTGTTGTGTTACTCTTTTCAAAGTTTTATAAGGAATTGTTGTGATACTGTTATCATAAAAAAGTTACAAAAAAGCAACTACTATATTCTAGATCGGGAATTTTAATAGTGAACTTTAGTTTATTTCTCATTCACTCCATTTGATTAGTTCGTACCCCGCTTAGTTAATTTAAAAATAAAATAAAATGACCAAAAAATCTTAGGTTAATACACAAATACGAATGGCGTTCACAACTTGTGAAATTGAAGTATTTTCTCTTTAAACAATAAATTTTACTTGCAACTTAAACTTTATGGTTGTTTTTTCATATTTAATTAAATAAAATCTATTAAAATAACCAAAGTCTTGAGAGGTGCTATCTATATATTATATAAAAAGATAGGATAATCCTGTGATTGAAAAATAGTTATACGATTAACATTATGAATTATCTAGCCGCACATTAACCTACTTACTGTAACTGATATTGCAAGATTGGTGTAATGTTGTATTAGACGCACATAGCCTAATCTTCAAGTAAGTACGGACTATATATTTTATTTTATTCAATTGTCTAAAATTATTATCAATATTTTTTATTGTATTCTATAAAAATATTTTATTAAATACTAGCAGGCAGACTATGTTCTGCGTTTTCCGGCGACGCTTTGTCCTTAAAAAATATTTAAATTAAAGAAATTAAAATACAGAAGGTCACTTATCGGGATAAAAACTATCCTATCTCTGAAGTTGGACCAAACTGAACACAGTGTGCAAAATTCTATTGAAATCAGTTCAGTAGTTTAGGAGTTCATCGAGGACAAACAATGTGACACGTAATTTTTATATATAATGATATTATACTATAAAAAAACAAGTTATTTTGTAAAAAAATATATTTTTTTTTATTTATAATGTGTCATTATAAATTTAAAAAATTAATATTTATACGATAACTATCATACGATAGTTATCGTATAAATAAGAAAACATTAATCATAAGATCATCGTATGAATGGACACTTTCATATAAAAGTCAATTGTTGTGAGTTAGTAATTAGCTGTATCATTAACTGCTGTATTAACTAACTCACAACAATTGGTAGTAAGACATGCAAGAAGTCGATGGATTCAGGTGGTTTTGGTGGCATATTTCAGGGTGTTTCTCAGGGGCGGCTGAAATTGTGATGAAGGCGATAATGGCAGGCCACAATTCGTTCACTAACATAACACTAACTTACACCACAATATTTATTGGTCCTTCGAGTCGGATTTTTAGCAGGCTTCAAAAAAGGAGGAGGTTATTACTTCGAGTGCATGCTTTTTGTACACGATATCATTGTCAATTGAGAACCGATTTGATGGTTCCTTTTATTATGTAAGTTATTACTTTATGGATGGCCCCAAATAAATCTGGAAAAAAAATCCAGCAGTAGTGGTCGTAAAATATTGAAATAAGGTTTTTTGAAACTATTTAGACGACATTCAGGTTGTGATATTCCTTGGTCCACTCAAAAGTCTGTTTTTTTGGATAATTTTTGGATAGATGTATTAGAAACAATGCACAAACATTAATTCCATCAAAATAATTATAATTACATTTTGGTTTCGCTACTACTAAACTAAATTTGTAATTGTTGCAGGAAGGTACATATCAGATCTTCATTGATATTTGATTAATTAAATGAAATTAAATTTGTTAATTTCAGATAATTTCATCTATAGAATTTTTAGCAAAAGTATTATGATATATGTTAGCGTTTAATTTCATTAATTATAACAGTATTAAAGACTCATCTGTTTGGGTTTTTGGAACAAAGTTCCTTATCGGACGGTACAGGTTTGGCAGATGGGAGCTAGGCGACAAAAAGTGTAAGATTTTTTCGTCACTACCCCTTGTGTCATAGTGTAGACGACCTTGGCGACGAAATAAGGAAGTGAGATGGAATAATATCCATCTCCCTCACACTTTTTCTTCTTCTTGCCATGAAATATATATTATTTTATTTCAAATGACGCTTCATTTTAATCATCATCATCATCATTACAGCCCTTCACAAGTCCACTGCTGAACATAGGCCTCCCCCAAGGAATGCCACAAAGCACGGTCCTGAGCCACCTGCATCCATCGACTTCCTGCATATCTTACCAGGTCGTCGCTCCATCTAGTGGGGGGACGCCCTGCACTTCGTCCACCGGAACGAGGCCGCCACTCGAGAACCTTTTTTTCCCATCGGTTGTCGGTTCTTCGAGCTATATGGCCGGCCCATTGCCACTTCAGCTTACTAATCCGTTGGGCTATGTCGGTCACTCTGGTTCTACTGCGTATATCCTCATTTCAAAGTTTATCACGCAGAGAAACTCCAAGCATAGCCCTCTCCATAGCTCGCTGAGTGACCTTGAGCTTACTCATCCGGCCAGCAGTAAAGGACCACGTCTCAGTACCATAAGTCATCACTGAAAACACGCACAGGTTGTACAGTCTCGTTTTCAAGTTTTGAGGTATACCTGACGAGAAGATGTGCCGTAATTTCCCGAACGCTGGCCAACCGAGTTGAATCCCTCGATTGTCCTCTCGGTCGAAGTTGGACTTACCTACTCGGACTATTTGTCCCAGGTAAACATACTCGTCAACAACTTCAACATAACCATCGTAGCCCTACTGTACAAGCACTTCAGCACTTCGATATATCGACAGTCAACTTGGCATCGCTGAAGGGACTGCAGCACCACCCAAATTTCGACGGAATCAAAGGCTTTCTCATAGTCCACATAGGCCAGACATAGTGGCAAATTGTACTCCTCGGACTTCTGTACAATTTGCCGAATGTATGTGGTCTATGGTGCTAAAGCCTTTTCGGAAACCGGCTTGTTCGGGAGGCTGGAAGTCGTCAAGTCTGCGCGCGAGACGATTCGTAATGACTCTCGAAAACAGCACGTAGACGCGGTTCAGAAGGGAAATCGGTCTGTAGTTTTTCAAGAGAGTGTTGTCACCTTTCTTGAAGAATAAGACCACCGCACTTCTGCTCCATGCCTCCGGTGTAGTGCCACCATGGAGGACGAAATTAAAGAGCTTTTGAAGGACTCCAAGTACCGGTTTTTCACCCGCTTCCAGAAGCTCCGCTGTAATTCCATCCTCGCCTGGGGCCTTGCCGTTTTTAAGGTGCTGGAGAGCCATTCTAATAATCTCGCTCAGACTGACGTCCGGGATATCATCGGAATAGTGTCGGATAAGACTCGCTCTTGGAACGTTACACACACTTACGTGTGGCTCCAACGATGATGTGAACAGCTGCCCATAGAACCTCTCAATCTCACTCAAAATCTCAGGTATCTCGGAAACGACGCTGCCACACTCGGTATTCAGCTTCCAAAGTTGGCTCTTTCTGGCAGACAGATCTCTAGCAAAGACGTTGGAGCCCTGGTTCCGCTCGATCGTTCTTCAATACGAGCAGTATTAAAGTTGCATTTGGAGATCTGTCTGTTCAGTTGCCTATGTTGTGTATGCTGTCAAATCTACTGAAGACTGCAGCTTCATATCCCGTCTAACAGCCATGAGATTAAGAGTGTGATCGGAGAGTTTTGGTGTTCTTCTGCGGCGGGTCTTGCAAAACTTAGCTCCGACCGCATAGACGCTAATAATTCATTTATTTGTATTTCTTAATCAATAATATAATACCTACGTTTATCAATAATAATATACTACGCAAGGAAATTCGTTCCAACCGAGTGTTCCACGACACTCACGCAGTTTTTATTTTTTTATTTATTTATTTTATTATGTTTAATGTATATTTATTATTTTTTTAAATAAAAACATTAGACTAGTGATCAGCTAACTAGCGGATCACTCTACGAACAAAACTCTTCCAGATAGGAGCGTTGTAATTCTACGCAACAATTTTCACGAGGGTGTGAAAACCATGGGTATACCGTTACCGTTACAACCTATTAAAGTCCTCTGCTGAACATATCCTCACATACACATAGGTTGCTTCATAAGGGGATATTTGCCATAGTTGCCACGCTTGGCAAGCAGGTTGACAACTGTTTTATTTTTATTTTTAGTCGTTATTAGACAGACGATGCTGCCCAACTCCTGCTTTGTTTCCCACTGTCGCCTCTTCTCTTCTCTTAGTCTGAGGGAAACAAAGCAGGAAAAAACCATCGGTATGATTTTGTGCAAATATTAGATACTTCAGATACAGGTTTCACCTAGGCACCATTTTACGATAATAGCTGCTCTTAATTGACGATTCCACAATATGGAAAGGTGAACAAATTTTCGCCACTGAAAATGTTTTTATCGCTATACATATATAATTTAAACATTTGTGTAAATGTACCTACTGGGGGAAACACGCGGAGCGTGTTTTGTTTAATTTAGTCTTCTGCTAACATGACAGACTAAAAGTCCTCGTTAAAATCATTCAAATATAAAATGGTTTTCGATTAAATTTAAATAAATGTTTAAATAAATTTATTTATTAAATAATTCTTCAGCATTTCAGCTAAAGTATAAATTATATAAATGAATAGTAATTGGCTTTTGACGAGAGCAATTTAATATCTTATTAAATAAATTAATATATAATGGCAAAAGTCCAAAGGAATGAAAGTATTGAGCCAGGGAATGGACACGTAAGTGACACAGAGAGAAATGTTTGGACCATCAGTGATGTGAATCGAGTGGAGAAGATCTACACTTATAATGAGGCGCTAGAGTTGGCAGGTATGTGCGATAAATATACTTGTATCAAATTATAAAAGTATATTTGCTGATTTTGTACTCCGGTGTCATCCTTCGCATCGTGGATTATAACGTGGAAAAAATGTTTTCCTTCGTCAGCCTGTAAAGTCCACGGCTTGGACATGAGCCTCCACCGTTGTAGGAAGAATTTGCCTTAATCTCCAAGCTTGGCAAGCAAGTTGACGATTGCAGTACCAGAACCAAAAAACCTCTGTCCTGGGAAGTACCAGAAGGGTGGTACAAACTACTTACATAACTTAAATCCCATAAACTAAGAAACAACTTGTAAGCAACCAGTTATTATCAAGCCTGTATTATTATAATAACCCTATTTATATACTTTTAGTTTAATAAAATTAAAATTGGTAATAGTTTATAAGTTTATGTAAACCTTGTATATTTTCTGGGATTTTTTTGTAATAGCGTAAATTTTATCCCATGAATGAATTACTAATTTTGTGGCGTCGAGAAACTGGCCTACCAGACGTGAGCACCCTCGACGCTTCTCTCTTTCACCGATCTGGGTAATTTATGCCACCTATGGGAAGCTATAGATCTTTCTGGCATATTCCAAAGTCGCTTTTTACGACACCAATGGGAGATGGAGAGTAGAGAGATGGACGTCATCGCCATACTTTATTACGTTACTTGTCTTAGCAGACATTTCCCACAGTAATAATTTAACGTGGTAGAGATGCAGCTATATTATGGTTGCTGCACAAATGGGTCGGCTCGATTGAGGTAGTACCACGCTCTCAAGATACCAGCGTTAATTAGGAGCTTAATGGTGCCTTGTTTCGAATAATACGAATACCCTTTTTACAGGTAACGAGAAATTTGGATTCTTAATTAAGGACTGATGTAGGAGTCTATAAGTCATAATGTCTATTACCAGGTGGACTTTGTACCTCTTTGTCCTTTACCTTTATTCTATAAAAAAAAACCTAAACACTGCCACTCTATAAGATTCTTTTTTCAAAAATTTTTCTATATCAAGTAATTAATTAAATAATAAAATAACTTAGTTAGAAAATAAAAATAATATTCTAAAGCTGAAGGTAGCGAGCTAACTATGATAATAAATATGGGGTCGTCATGTACCTCAGTCTCCCCCGTGAGCATGGGTGCTGTAAAGCGCCCGAAACGTCGGGAATTAAAAAGGTTTTACGTGGTAGAGCCTTGCTGCAGCTATATTAGTAGTAGGTATAGTTGTAGCACAAATAAGTCGTCTCGACCGGGGAAGGACCACGCTCTCACAGAATACAGACGTAAAATAGCAGCTTAATGCTGCTGTGTTTCGTATGATGAGTGTAGAGAACCGGAGACCCTTTTTACTGAAAACGAGGTATTCCATCTTTGTCCTCAGACGTGACAACGCACCTGCATTTTGATTCGTAATCGAGAATAGATGTAGATGTCTATGGGCCGCAGCAACCACTTACCATCAGGTGGACTGTTTGCTCGTTTGTCACCCTTATCCTATAAAAAAATAAAAATTGTGCGCAATAAAATCCGTAAAATTGGTTTCCATTTGATTCTCTCATTTAATTTTTCAAGGTCATGGTCGGTACAACATTGGACTTCTATTTACCCTGATTCTGGGTATTCACTCTTTGGCACTGGAAATTTTTGGATTTTCCATTGTGGTAAGCGGAGCAACTTGTGACTTCAAGTTGCACCAAAGTCAGAAGAGTATATTGCTTGCCATGCCGTATTTCGGTAAGTATGCTAACCCATTATTTAGTATCTCATAATATAAAGCATTTATTATTCTAGCTTTTAAAACTAAAACTTAAATTATCATATAGTATATACTCTACGTGGTTTAGTACCAATAATGCTGGCTACGTGCCTCGCTGAATTGATAAGATTAGCCTTCCAGCGAGAAAAGTACTAACATCAGTGGCAACAACTAGTTCATTTACGACAAAAGATACAGTTTCTTTAGGAATTTTACCGCACTTGGACCCCACAGGCCGATATTTTACAGCAAATGACACAAATGTGTTGCACGTAACATCACTGGGGCTTTGCTCTCTCCCAAGGGACCACGGTCAAACCGCTGAATCTCTTGCTATGGTCTCTTATTTTTCCACAAGGCTCTAAAACTGAAGTAACATTTAAAGAGACAATAACACTTCGGATGATGTCTCTACACATTCAGCATAGACAATGGGATTACGCAATTACCCCACCGGAAGACACGTGGCCGAGACATGTTTTATACGTGGTAGATCCACGCTGTAGCTATATTATGGTTGTTGCAAGAATGGATTGGCTTAACCGGGGAAGGGAAACCGCTCTCACAGAAAATAGCAGTTTAATGCTGCGGTGTTTCATGTGGTGTGGGTAGAGAACCGAAGACCCTTTTAACTGGAAACGAGACATTCTACATCGAAGATAGAATGTAGATGTCTATGGGTCACAGCATCCACTTACAACAAGTGGACTGTGTGCTCGATTGTCACTCTAATAGAAAAAGAGAAAAGACAGAAAGTGACAGATAGCGATATCAGATGATAATAAAATTATGTTTCAGGGTCTATTTTCATGTCTTACCCGTGGGGGTACATCGCCGATACACAAGGCAGGAAGAAAAGTCTCGTCATTGCTCTGTTCGGCACTTTTGTAGCAGCTGTCGTTAGTGCTTTCTCTGTCAACTGGGTTATGCTGGCCGTATTAAAGTTTATAAGTTCAAGCTTGTGAGTATATATATCTAATTTTACTAGGTGGTAGAACTCTTTTTCTGCCTAGAACTCTATGTGGGTGGAAACCACCATTATACCATCATCTGCCGCAAAATATGCAATGCTATGCTTTCACCGCTGTGTCCTGATTTGAAGGACCTGAATACTCAATTCGACTGTATTTTTTATGTGTGAAAACTTTTTTCTAGGTGAACCGATTTTGATGATTCTTTTTTTTTGTTTGAAAGCTGGGACTTCCCATCCACTGGGACGTCCCATACAAATTTGATTAAGATCTGACCTATAGTTTTGAGTTATCCCTAATAATGCGTGTTTGATTGACTTCCACTACATTGAGGATGTTCTCAATATTGAAGTCGGTAGAATAAAATTTTTAATTTTACCTTTTGTATTTGTCTGAAGTTGGCTGTACATGGACTGCTATAGCCACTTACCATCAGGTGGGATGTAATTCGTTTGTCATTTCAGTTTTATAAAAAAAAAGAAATAGTTGATATTGATTGTTTTAAAACACTAAAGGTAAAATAAGCATATCATAATGAACTGGTAACTGGAATTATATACTGCTGAATAATTAAGTAAAGGCTTTATGATACGAGTAATTAATGTCACAGATAACGTATTAATAAGGTTAATAAGAAACAGACTAAGCCACAGAAACAACTGCAGACCGAAAACAATACGTTGCTTACACTAAATGATACACTAGAAATCTATAAAGTAACTAAAATCAAACGAGATGGAAGAGTTAAAAAATAATCATTTCGACACAAATCATACCACAACCATTATAACCAACACAAATGTATAATGCTAAAAAATAAAAAATAAAAATGTTTTTTTTTTCAATTACATACATAATGCTTTAACATACATGATTTGGAGATAAAGTTTTAAGCAAGGAGGTGCTTGTGTTAGGTGATTGCGCTCTTTAACTTAACATTAAGCAAGCGAAAACAAAATAAAAGTAAAGAAAGTACAAAATATAGCAAGGATAAGGAGCGCACTTGAATGAGGTATGCGAGTGGATTTTTGAGTGTGCATGCATTGTGTATATGAGTTAATTTCGTTTACCTGCGTGTAAATATAAGTTTTATCGGAAGTAGCCAGGCATAGCTTCTTCCACTAACAATTTCGTTACTGCGGTCCAATTAGTTGGTAGATAGATTATGGTAACGATAATACTATAGCCTCAATGTCATTGTAGGTAACTTAAGACAATTAGCCATTGCTAATTTACAGACACGAAGTTTTAGATGATAGATGTTTATCTCTTTATTCAATAGGTTGCATAAGTGGGAAGATTGTCTTGCATACTGCCTCTTTGCAAAAGCAGATCTAACTGGGACAGTTGGAGCGACCAAGTAATTTCTTTCGCTACTCATACTTGGCTTTTAGGATCATACGGGAGGGATTTGTGTTTTATCAGTATAAGATGGAGTAGGTAAAGTTTTCTTACAGACAGTAGGTTATAGGTTTGGTAAAGGCTTTAGGTTGGAAATCTTAAGGCTTTAAAGAGCATAACCATAAGCAGAGATCACTGAGCCCTCTCAATGTCTAAATATTATTGTTTTGTTGTTCCACCCCAGCATGTCAAAAAGGTACGTTAGGATCGATTGGGCCAATGATATGTAGACTGTCTGCAAACGATTCTTTGAGGCAACGTGTCGCAATGTTTTAAAAGTCCATATAAATTTCCTAAGCCCTTTCATGATCAGTTCCGTATGCCAGGACAGGCGCTGGTCAATAAATCATCATTGCCACAGGAATCTAGTATACTGTAACATATTTTTATACAAGAGCAGTCAGGAATCGGATGGTTGGCACAGTAGTGAATCTTTATTTTTGGAATTCGAGTGGTGGTTGAGTGTGTATATACTTGGTGAAGCATATGTAATTAGACTAGGAGGCAATTAATGTGAGGAGGTTACGATTGAGCCAATCTTCAATCTTTGACAGGCCGATTTTGGCTAACCTTTTAATTTTTGCCCATATCTTATCAGCTAGGATTATGGCGGTATTATCTACGTCTGAGAAAATGCAAGCCCCATCAATAGTCATAGATATTTTTTACGTGGTAGAGCCATGCTGCAGCTATATTAATACTAAAGTTGTAGCACGAATGGGTCAGCTCGACCGGGGAAGGACCACGCTCACACAGAATACCAGCGTAAAATAGCAGCCTAATGTTGCTGTGTATGGTGAGTGTAGAGAACCGAAGACCCACTTTACTGAAAAAAGGCATCCTATCTTAATCTTCACGGCTGACAACGCATCTGCATTTTAATTCGCAAACGAAGATAGATGTAGATGTCTATGGGCCACAGCAACCACTTACCATCAGGTGGACTGTACGCTCCTTTGTCACCCTTATTCTATAAAAAATATGTTTATAAGGAACAATGTCGGACCAAGGATATTCCCCTGCCCGACGCCATACGAAATTGTTTCTTCTTAGCTAATAAACTCCCCTATTTTGACTGTATGTTTGCGATTGCTTAGTTAGGATTTGAACAGCTTGAGAAGAGTTCTCCTTATTCCTATGTTTTCGAGACTGTGTAGAAACATGGGGACAGATACTGTCAAAGGCCTTTTTGAGGTCAAGGGAACTGCCATACATTGGCTACTCTTATCCACTTTGTCAACTATGGTAGATGTTAGAGATAGGACTGCATCCTTAGTAGACCTTCCCTGCCTAAACCCAAACTGAGAAGGCGACAGAATCTTATACTTAGAAAAGCATTTAATTAGGCGTGAGTTTAAGTCTTTCTAGGGTATATGAGATAGATAGCAGTACATTCCTGTAATAAACAATAATATTAATTTATTTAAAAAGTAATTCCTGTTACATATTCTTTATCAAATAAAATTTCAAATTAAGAATACATAGTAAATTTGGAATTAATCACGACATTTTACGCTTTAAATAACCTTTTTTAGATATTTTTCCCAGATCTATTTAGTAATAAAGTGGAAATATATACGAGTAACATAACTATTAAAATACAATGTGTATTGGGGTTGAAAGAATATCCGGTAACCCAAATCGTCCCGTAGGTGTGGCACCATCTTCACAGCATCTTCTTAACAACAACTAGATCCAAAGTAAATAAAAATTGTTGTTGCCAACCTGCCTGCTAAAAGTGGAAAGTATGCCAAATACCCGCTTTATGAGATTATCTGTGGGGAAGCCAGTTCAGTTATGTTCAGTAGTTGACTTTGATAGATTTTTTTTTTTTTTTTATAGAATAGGGGGCAAACGAGCATGCGGCTCACCTGATGTTAAGTGACTACCGCCGCCCATGAACAACCGCAACACCAGGGGAATTGCAGATGCGTTGCCGGCCTTTTAGAAAGGTGTAAGCTCTTTTCTTGAAGGTTCCTAAGTCGTATCGGTTCGGAAAATTCGCTGGTGGTAATTGATTCCACAAAGAAGTTGTGCGAGGGAGAAAACTTCTTCTAAATCGCACAGTGGTGGACCGCCAATCATCCAGATGGTATGGATGGTAACGCGAGTTTTGTCGCGACGTGCGATGGTGAAATTGAGCGGCTGGAATTAGTCCGAACAATTCCTCAGAGCACTCCCCGTGATAGATGCGATAAAATACGCAAAGAGATGCAACATCTCTACGCAGTGCCAGTGTATCGAGCCGATCGGAAAGAACTCGGTCGTCGACGATTCGAATCGCTCTGCGCTGGATGCGGTCAAGTGGAAGGAGCTGGCACTGGGGTGCCCCGGCCCAGAGATGAGAACAGTATTCCATGTGGGGCCGAACTTGCGCTTTGTAAAGTTGCAAGCGATGTGTCGGCATGAAATACTGTCTCGCTCTGCTGAGCACGCCAAGCTTTTTAGAGGCCAATTTGGCCTTCCCTTCCAAGTGACCACGAAACTGCACGCTATTCGATATGTCGACGCCAAGGATTCCGATACTGGCTGAGGCAGCAAGGGGAGTGCCTTGAAACTGAGGAGATACGACAAAGGGGTTCTTTTTAGCGGTAAACGCGCAAACTTGTGTCTTCTGGGGATTGAACTGGACTAGATTTAGTCGGCCCCAATCCGAGACTTTGTTAACCAAAGACTCGACTTCAGACACAAGTTTGTCCCGGTACTCGGCGACGTTTTCCCGAGAAATATTGGCACGGCCGGTATATAAGGCATCCCCAGTGCTGTCGTCTGCATAGCAATGAATGCTACCAGTTAGCAACATATCATTGATATGCAGGAGAAACAGCGTTGGTGATAGCACGCAGCCTTGTGGAACACCAGCGTTGATAGGCTTGTAATCAGAGCATGCACCGTCTACTACGACCTTGATGCTCCGATCAGCAAGGAAACTGGTGATCCATTTGCACAATTTCTCGGGAAGCCCATAGGAAGGAAGCTTCGAAAGAAGCGCCTTGTGCCAGACCCGATCGAAGGCCTTCGCTATGTCCAAACTAACGGCCAATGCCTCCCCCTTGGACTCTACTGCCTCCGCCCATCTATGAGTTAAGTAAACTAAAAGATCACCTGCTGATCGACCCCGACGAAAACCGTACTGACGGTCACTGATCAGCTGGTGATCCTCAAGGTACCTCATGAGCTGGCAGTTTATAATGGATTCCATTATTTTGGAGAACAAGGAGGTGATGGCGATAGGCCTGTAGTTGGACGGGTCTGAGCGGTCGCCTTTTTTAGGGATCGGGTGGACCAAAGCTGTCTTCCATGAATTCGGGACTACGCCTTGGGAGTAGGAGTACCGGAAAAGACGCGTTAAAACCGGTGCCAACTCCGGAGCACACGTCTTCAGCACAATGGGAGGGACTCCATCGGGCCCACTCGACTTGCTGACGTCCAGGGAGAAGAGTGCTTTGCGAATCGAGCGCTGTGTAAATCGCACATCCGGCATGGAGCACTCACATCGCGGGATGGTCGGCGGTGTGTTCCCCCCGTCATCTAGAGTCGAGTTGGACGCAAAAAGAGAGCACAACAGATCGGCTTTCTCTTTTGCGGC